TCGCATCATTTTAACACTGCAGGATAAAGAGCATACGTGTTTTGAGGGAGGAGCCAGCTGTTCGGTTTCAATTGCACCCATTTCACGTTTCATCTGTACCCACGTCACGTCGTCCGCAGCCACTCAGCTCAACTTATGAGCAAATATAGAGGCAAAGCATAGGACATCCAACCCAAATTGGAATATAAGAAGGAAGTAGGTTTGAAGCAGGCCACCTTTCTTGCCTTCGTGTTTTTGGTAAATTATCATAAACCATGGTGTCCTGCTCTGACGAGATCCGTCATATGAGGGACGAAGCTCAACATGGATTCATCGGGGTCGCAGGGCGGTGGGCCGAGGACCTATTCGCACAAATCTACAACCACAGCTCCAAGGCAACTCCCCACAGCCTCCGGTGAAACTAACATAAGGATACATTCCACTCGTCTCCTTAAAAGAAATGAAAGGTACTTCAACTCACTGATGATGCAGACTACGATGCCGGCCAAACGTCTGACAATCTACCAGGTCCACGTTCTTACGCAGGGAATTATGATAACTGCTATGACAGATGACTTCGGACCAGACAACAGACAAAGTTGCGACATCGAGGTCAACCGACGTCTCTAGATCGAAAGGAGACTTCGACCGTATCCTGGACCACACTCTCTTGGTCTTCATAGCTTTTCTTAGGTCAGGATATTTATTAAAGCCAAGTTGCTCTTCGTATTGACTTATTCTTAGACGGGAGACGCTCTCGACGAGATTTTAAGATGTTTGACTCTGCTTACGACGTTTATGAGGCGAGTGATGGCTGATTAAATGGTCCGTTTTGAAAATGATCAAGTCTTCAGCAGATCGCTCCGACACAAAGCGGGATTGACGGAATCTCTTGACATGGTGTCAGTTATAAGCAGAATAATCTAAATAGCTAAAGGCATATGTTTTTATATTCGTATGCTAGTAGGGTTTCGAGACTACCAGTAAATCAGTGTAATGAGATCTATCCACCCTATTTCGTATAAGGTGATGAAGGACTGGTAGTAGAATTTTCCCACAATGAGATGAGTTGAGCTGAATAAGCCTCAGGATTCCAGTACATTCAGCCTATCCTTGCCTCTCTAAATGTCTTCTAATAAAGACTAGTCTGCAGCCTTTGTCTCTTCAACTTTCCATCTCTTTGCTTAAAGGGAGGTCGAACCGGATCGTGTGCATAGTATTGCCACATTCTAATGCATTCTCACGATTCTAGTGGGTGACAGGGCGAACATAGTCTTTAAGATAACCAAAGATCCCTCAAATAATACTTTTTTATCGAAGGTATGAAGACCAAGATGGTGTGGCCTTTTGTGTGGTCGCAGTCTCCTTTCGTTGTATTGAAGTTGATTGACCTTGTTTTCTCAACTTGGTCATATTGGTAGAAAGAGTTAGAGGAACGCACCATGTCCGGAGTCCATTGTATACATGATCATTTTCAAAGTCGGACCGTGGACGTTGTATATTCCAAGACGTTTCACCGGCATCGTAGTCGGCATCGTCAGTGAGTTTTGCCATTCGTAGCACCATATAAGAACTCATCAAAGAGACAAGTGAAGCCGATCATTTGACGAAACTTGTGCTAAACAGTCATAGTATCTCCCCTTCTGCCCTGCCCTATTCACATTTCCTATAACCTCCAATCACGCCTTCACTGTTACAATTTTTTACTTGCCTAATGTGGTACAGTGTGCCCTTTTTTAGCGGCTTTCATGAGAATGCTCCGCACTCCATGCTGGCCTTCTCACCGCCCTTCATCCTTGTGCTGGGAATGTCGATCAGAAACTGCCATATTGTTACGC